TACGTAGACAAGAAGGCCATGCTGGCCTTGTGTCGAGAGCAGCGACTGGAGCACAGGACAAAGCACATTGCTCTCCGCTACTTTCTTGCTCGTGAGCTACAGCAGCGTGGACAGTTGCGACTTGCTTACGTGGCCTCTGAGGCCAACACTGCTGATGTCTTCACCAAGGCACTTGCGCCTTGTGATCATCAGCGTTGCTGCACGCAGCTGGGTCTTGTGCCTGTCTTGCCTCACTTGCTCACTTCTTGACCTTGCTTGTACCTTGACCTATATATACTCTTGTTCTTGCTTGCTTGACTCTTGTATATCTCTATATATGATCTTGCATGTGAACTGGCCTTGTGGCCTTTGAACTTGTGCTCGGAATGTGTGGTGACTTTGTGATCCACCCTGAGCTTTGCTTTGCTTTGCTTGACTGGTCTTGTGACCCCTTGTTCTCCCCCACTTTGCCTATGGGGGTGTGTCAGAATATTATAGCTTACTCATTTGTGTAGGCTATAGTGGGGTATCCCATAGGGGGTACAACCCAACTAGGGTTTCCTATTTGTACTCACTTCGTTCATAGTTCACTCATTCTCTCGTTCACTTCTTCTCACGAACATGTGACTTAACTTGTAAGGAAAAACCCCTGTCCTTACAGGGGTTTACTCAGTCGCGTATAACCCCAACTTTTGAAAGTGCACATTTGGCCACTTTGCTTGCTGCCGAAGCAACCTCGCCTCGCCTCTGGCTTTCCCTTTGCCCAACCTGCACCCAGCCTCGTAAGGTTCCAGCCTAGTTAGGCTGTCCCGCTATATTATCACGTGTCTTTCATTGTATCATCACTTCATTTAGTCACAAGCTTCAGTATTCCATTTCCGCGCAACTCTGTTTGACAACTCATAACACCTGGTATAGGAGCTACTTTCCTAGTTCACCCCGCTTTTTTAGGGTAGTCTGGCAGGTGATCTGTACGTGCTCCCGGACTGGTAGGCACCTGGCCACGTTCACCCGTCGGCCTGGGTCGAGACTGTACACACTGAGTACTGCGCCTCCTTAGGTAGCTGCGTCTGCGTCTGCGTCAGGTGAGCTAGCGGTTCCCTCCTCGTGTCGCGCCCTGTCGCACCAGACGCTCCTTTGGCACCACCGCCTTGGTCACCCCTCAGTAGCACGCCTCCGTGGCATGCACTCCCGTCTCCTTATCTCTGGTCTTCCCAGGTCTCTCCCTCCCCTCTCACCCTTGCTTGCCCCTCCCTGCCTTCCCTATGTCGAGGGGCGGCAGCGCGCCGCTCCTCACTCCTCGTCCCCCCCGACGACTGCTCCCCTGCAGACTCTTCATCTGGACGTGTGGGGCCCAGCCCGCGTCCGTGGACAGGGCCACGAGCGATACTTTCTACTGGTTGTCGACGACTACACGCGTTACACCACGGTCTTCCTCTTGCAACGCAAGGGGGAGGTCCCTGATGTTTTGATCCCTTGGATCTGCGCTGTTCGTCTCCAGCTCCGCGAGCGGTTCGAGACGGACCTTCCCGTCCTGCATCTGCACTCTGACCCGGGTGGTGAGATTTGTCAGACTGTTATAATCTAGCCTGTAGTGGGGTGCTCTTTAGCGAGTACAACCCTGTTAGGGTTTGCTATATGTATCCCAACTGCTGCCAGTGAAACCCCTCTCTTCATCATTTCTGTTCCTTCACATGCTATCAGAGCATCTACGCTCCTGGCCTGTGGGCCCACCTAACTGCTTCCGCTGCTACTCTGTGTGCTGCACGCCCCGTGGCGTGCCCCTCGCGCGACCCTTAGCCGCCCCTAACGGCCCCGTTGCCGCCCTTCCAGGCCCCTCGCGGCCCCTTCGCGGCCCCGTCGCCGCCCCTAGCGGCCCCGTCGCCGACCTTTGAGGCCCCTCGCGGCCCCTTCGCGGCCCCGTCGCCGCCCCTAGCGGCCCGTCGCCGCCCTTCCAGGCCCCTCGCGGCCCCTTCGCGGCCACGTCGCCGCCCCTATCGGCCTCGTCGCCGCCACCAGCGGCCCCGTCGCCGCCCCTAACGGCCCCGTCGCCGCCCCTATCAGCCCCGTCGCCGCCACTTGCGGCCCCGTCGCCGCCCCTTTCGGCCCTGCCTCGACCCTGCCCCGGCCCCGCCCCGGTCATGCTCCGTCGCCTGTCGCGGCGCACCGGGGGCACGCGCACCACCCCCCCCTCTTTTCCCGTCGCCAGTCGAGGCGACCTGAGGGGGGGAGGGGCGAGCGTCGCTCCTTCTGCCGCCTGTTTTGGCGCCCAGGGAGGCCGCGCGTCGCCCCTCCCCCCCCGTAACCTCCCTACCCGTCGCCCGGCCCTGCCCTGTGTTAGGGTTTGGGGGTGGCGGGTGTGTGGTCTCCCCTGCTCCTCCTCCTCCTCTGTCTCCCACTGCTGCAGCTGTCGCTGAGGGGGGTGGGTGTGTGGGAGTCGACGGAGTGGTGCTAGGGGGTGGGGTGTGAGTGAACCTAGGGTGCAGCAAGGGGTGTGTGAAAGGGGGGTGCTGCGGAAGTGGAACTAGGGTTTGAGCAGGGGGTGTGTGTCGAGGGGTGTGGGGCAGCTGGAGGAGGTTGTGTGAAGGTAGCTGTCGTGTCGCCTGCAGCGCCTGTAGTCCGTCGCCCTTGCTTCGGTAGCCAGTGAGCCTGTTGCACCAGTCGCCAGTGGGTCCGTTGCTCCTGCCGCTCGTCTATAGCCGCGGAGCCAGTTACTCCAGTAGTCTGACGCCCTTGCTTCGGTAGCCACTGTGCCCGTGCCTCTGCAGCTTCAGTCGGTGCCTCCCATCTTCTCTCCCTCCACAGTTCCTCCTCCTCACTTGCCCGCTGTGATTAACTCTAGCTTTGCTCGCTATTGTGAACTCCTGCTCTATGCCTGCTTGCTCATTGTGCTGATTACACCCCACTTTGGCTATGGGGGTGTGTCAGACTATTATTATCTAGCATGTAGTGGGGTGCTCTATAGCGAGTACAACCCTGTTAGGGTTTGCTATATGTATCCCAACTGCTGCTAGTGAATCCCCTCTCTTCTTCATTTCTGTTCCTTCACAAGATTTCCTCTGACCTCTTGCGGGACTTTTGTCGTGGGGAGGGCATTCTCCAAACGTACACGCTTCTAGCCTCTCTGCAGCAGAATGGGGTTGCTGAGCACTGCATTGGCTTAGTCATGGAGGTCGCTCGTACCTCCATGATCCATGCGGCTGCCCACCATTTTCTATGGCCGTTTGCGGTCCGATACGCTGCGCATCAGCTCAACCTCTGGCCCCGTGTCTCCTTGCCGGAGACCTTGCCGACACTACGTTAGACTGGAGAGGTTGGCGTTGCATCCGTGTTCCGGGTTTGGAGATGTTGGGCCTTTGTCCGCGATACTTCCGCGGACAAGCTCTCCTCCCGCGCCGTTCCCTGTGTCTTCCTTGGCTTTCCCCTTGACGCGCCTAGCTGGCAGCTTTACCACCCCACCTCGCGCCGTGTCTTGTCCTCTCAGGACGTCACGTTTGACGAGTCGGTTCCCTTTTACTGTCTCTTCCCCTACCGCACTGCCCCTCTCCCTCCCCCGCCGCTCTTCCTCGCACTAGGTCCTCGTCCGGTAGACCCCCTCCCTCCTCAGGGTCCTGCTCCCTTAGGTGTGTCCCAGGTAGACCCTATCGAACCTGTCGAGGTAGCTGTCGACTCTGGTGCTGCTAGAGGGGTTGCGTCTGGGGGTGCTGAGCCTGCGGGTGCGGGGCCTGGGGGTGTTGGGCCTGAGTGTGCGGAGCCTGGGGGTGCTGAGCTTGAGCGTGCGGAGCCTGGGGGTGCTGAGCCTGGGCTTGCTGAGTCTGGGGGTACTGAGCCTAGGGGTGCTAAGCCTGAGCGTGCGGAGCCTGGGGGTGCTGAGCCTGGGGGTGCTGCGCCTGGGGGTGCCGAGCCTGAGCGTGCTGAGCCTGGAGGTCCTACGAGTGTCTTGTCTTGTAGGGAGCCTCTCTCTCCACTACAGCTGCGTGAGTGGTTTGCTCGGCGCTGGAGCCTCCAGAGTGGTGCTGCTGGAGCTACTGGAGGCGCTGGAGCTGCTGGAGGCGCTAGAGCCGCTGTTCCTGGAGGAGCTCATCCTGGAGTTACTGGAGGTGCTGCTGGAGCTGGAGATGCTGGAGCTGGAGGTGCTACTGGAGCTGCTGGAGCTGCTGGAGGTGCTGGAGCCACTGGTCCCGAAGGTGCTCGCACTGGAGGTACTAGAGCTGCTGGGGCTGGAGGTGCTACTAGAGCTAGAGCTGCTGGAGGTGCTGGGGCTGCTGGAGCTGGAGGTGCTGCGGGAGTTGGAGCTTGAGCTATTGGAGGTGCTGGAGCTGCTGGAGCTGGTAGTGCTGTAGGCGTTGGAGCTGGAGACCCTGGAGCTGGAGGTGCTGGCCCTGAGGGTGCTGGTGCTCTCGGAGCTGGTTCTGGAGGCATTGTGTGGCCGCGACTGTTACACTGAGCAGCCCGGAGGTCTTACTAAGCGTCGTGAGCCTGCGTCTCGTCCTGCGTGGCCTGTTCGCACTGTTCACACTGGTCGTCGTGTTCCGCGTCAGCGTCCTCCTCCTGTCCCCGGCACGAACCATATGGCACTTCGTCCTTCCTCTTTTCCACTGGGTATCCCTTTGCCTTCTCCTCATGCGTCCTCCCTTGCTAACAGTCCGGACCCGGAGTCCGACTAACTTCGTGCTGACAGCCCTACTGTCACACGTCTGCTAGCTACTGTTGTTAGTGACCCTTCCTTTGAGTCCACTGCTGCGTCTGCCTTAGTTGCTGAGCTTGTCGACTTAGGTGTTCGCTGTCGTCTCGACTACGTCGCTAGTCATGGTGCTGAGTCACCGGCGGGTGAGTGTGCTCTTGGCACGGACATCCGTGAGGACAGGCAGGAGGACTTTGAGTGCTTTGCATCTGCTATACCTCATCTCGTTTCCATGCTGATTGCACCTGAGGGAGACCCGCATGCACCAGACATCCCGACCCCGCGCTCTTACGCAGAGGCGATTTAGGGTCCCTACTCCTCTCAGTGGCAGTCAGCCATGGACTTAGAGATGGCATCCTGGAAGTCCACAGGCACTTACATCTACGAGGTTCCCCCACCTGGGGTGAACATCGTCAATGGCATGTGGATCTTTACAGTGAAACGGCCGCCGAGTTCTCCGCCTGTCTTCAAGGCGTGTTACGTTGTACAAGGCTTTAGTCAGCGACAGGGAGTTGACTTCTTCCAGACCTTCTCCCCTACACCGAAGATGACCACTCTTCGGGTTCTGCTGCACGTCGCTGCTCAGCGTGACTACGAGCTTCACTCTCTTGACTTCAGCACTGCTTTCCTACAGGGCAGCCTGCACGAGGAGATCTGGCTGCGCCGCCCACCCCGCTTCACCGGGTCTTTTCCTGCAGGTTCCCAGTGGAGCCTCCGGCGGCCAGTCTATAGTCTCCACCTGGCGCCTCGTGAGTGGCACGACACACTGCGGAGGACACTTGCGGCTCTTGGGTTTGCTCCTGTGACTGCTGACCCGTCGCTGTTTCTCCTCACCGACACTTCGCTACCGCCATTCTACATCTTCGTGTACGTTGATGACTTGGTCTTCGCCACTGCTGACATTGAGAGACTCGCCCACGTGAAGTCAGAGCTGCAGAAGAGACACACATGCACAGACCTGGGTGAGCTGTGCAGCTATCTTGGCTTGCAGATCACCCGGGACAGAGCACAGCGCACCATTACTTTGACTCACTCACACACGGTATAGCAGGTCCTTCAACGTTTCCGCTTCCAGTGTTCCTCTGCCACAGTCCACTTCTCTGCCTACCGGTCACTCGCTCTCAGCTCCACCTTCGGACGAGTCCGTAGAGCCGAGTGGCCCGTATCCAGAGCTTGTGGGCTGCCTCATGTACCTGATGACCTGCACTCAACCTGACCTCGCCTACCCTCTTAGCATCCTGGCACGCTACGTTGCGTCCGGGAGACACTGACGAGAGCACTGGAAGGCCGCTAAGAGGGTGATGCACTACTTGTGCAGTACGTCGGGCATGGGGCTCGTGCTTGGAGGACGTTGTCCAGTTGTCCTCACTAGTCACGCAGACGCTTCTTGGGTTGACGACTTGGCTATGCAGCAGTTGTCTCATGGTTACACCTTCAGCCTTGGCTCCGGCTCTATTTCGTGGCGGTCTACCCGCTCGTCTTCTGTTCTCTGCTCCAGTTGTGAGGCTGAGATCTACGCAGGAGTCATGGCTGCACAGGAGTTACGCTGGATCACCTACCTGCTGACCGACTTGGGAGAGCCGCCTCGTTCTCCTCCAGTTCCGTAAGTCGACAACAAGGACATGATTACCTTGTGTCAGGAGCACAAACTGGAGCACAGAACGAAGCACATCGCTTTGCGCTACTTCCTTGCTCGAGAGTTGCAGCAGCATGGTCAGCTTCGTCTTGTTTACGTGGCCTCTCAGGCCAACACTGCTGTTATCTTCACCAAGGCACTTCAGCCTTGTGATCATCAACGTTTCTGTAGTGTTCTAGGCCTTGTGCCTACTTTGCCTCTCTTGCTCACTTCTTAACTTTGCCTGTACTGTAATCTATATACATATACCTGCTTACTTACACTTGCTAGGTTGTGTTTACTGTACTGCTTGTTCTCCTCTATATATATATGCATTTGTTACTCTGCATGTGAACTGGCCTTGTGGTCATTTGCTTGTGCTCAGACTGCGTGGTGACTTCGTGATCCACCCTGAGCTTGCTTTGCTTTTCTTGACCGGTCTTGCGACCTCTTTTTCTCCCCCAGTTTGCCTTTGGGGGTGTGACAAACTTATATGTTGCTTATTGTGTAGGCTGTATTGGGGTAGCCCATATGGGGTACAACACAATTTGGGTTAGCACTTGTACCTATCCTTCTGCTAGTCAATTTATTCTCGTTCGTAATTCTGACATGCATGGTATTTGGCTTTTGGATGGGGCGTAGGGGCAGAGGAGGCTCGCGTGGAAGGATGGGCTAACGTACCAGTCAGCGGGCACGAGGAGGTGGGCAGTGACGGGTGATATTATGTGGCTGATGGGAAATGGCCCACAATATCCGGGGGCGGAGTTTTGGGGTTATGGGTAGGCGGAGGTTCCGGGTGTCGAGCAGTACCAAGTCGTCGGGCTGGTAAGTGACGGGGTGGTGGTGGCGATCGGCGTTGCGTTTGGCGATCGGGTTTGTTTTTTTTATGGCGTCTGCTTCTCGGGTCTGGGTTGCATGTAGGATTCCGGGAACTGTTGTTCACATGGTGCAGGGTTGTCGGGATTCGGCGTCATGGGTACTGTAGGGTTCTGTCCGTAGTTGAGGTAGAAGGATGACTGTTGCGTCGTGGCTGATGTGAAGTTGTTGTACGCAAGCTCGATAAGTGGCAGCTGCTGTTCCCATATTGTCGGATCATCGCACGTGGCTCAAATTGATTTCTCCATGGTCTGATTGGTCTTCTGTTTGACCGTTGGTTTTGGGGTGGTATGATGAACTGAACTGTTGTCGCGTGCAGAACTGCTGCTACAGGTTCCTCCAGAAGTTGCTGGTGAATTCCGTGCAGAATGTTGAAAACACCCTCCCTGGCCAGAAACTGCATGAGCCGCTGGTACATAGCGATCGGTGTGTCCTCGTCGCACACAAACTATATGCTCCTCATGAGTCTGATCACGCGCGCGCCCTCCGGGTCCGCTCTCTCATAGTCGACGATCTTCTTTTGCGCCGCTAACTTGTCGAGGAGTCCTTTCTGACGGTCGATGCACTCTTCATGGCGAGTGCTTGATTGGTGCGCCCGCATCGACGCTGGCTGCAAGTCGCGTCCGCCGCTTCCATTCCTCCCGTATCGTGCATTGTCTTGGACGTGTTCCCGTAGCCATTTGGTGATGTAGTTCCTCTGTGCTTCTAGGAACTTCGCTTCAGCGCGTTCAGCTGCTGTCTGTTTGAGAGGTGACGGTGTTGGCGTCACAGTGGGAGGTGGCAAAGGAGGAGGTTTCACGAGAGGCGTGTCGGCGCCAAACCCAATTGTAGTCTGCGTGTAGCGGCGTCATTTCAGCGCCGCGGAGTTAGAAAACATCGGGACCTCTGAAACGATCTCCGTCGACTCCACATTGTCGTGAACGACGGGGTCCGCCTCCATGCATGTGGGAAGATGCCATACGGTGTCGTCAAAGTCTAGCACATGCTGTGGTAGTGGTGACTTTGGCGCAGCTTTGCACACGGATCATTGCCACCCCTCATTGTCAACCGAGGGCTCTGGCAAAAGATGGGGTGCAGGTTTTGAGACAGAGCCTCGTAAGAAAATCAAGGCCAGTTCTTGGCTGGTTGCTACTAGATGGGTCGCCATCATCAGCATTGGCAGCGTCCAGGTCACCAGTCGCTGCCATTGCTTCGGGGTGGTGAGTGCTGGGCTGCTAGAGCGAATGGTTAAAACAACTTGAAATTTGGGGGGAGGAGGAATGTCGGTGTGTGGCGAAACTACTTGCTGTGCTTGCTTAACCAACATGACAATGCATCGAGTCAGAACCACCACGAGCGCCTCGGTGGGGGATGCGGATAGCATCTCCACTCACCGACAGTATGAATGTGGTCCTTGTGGTAAGACCTAGTTCAGGCAGCAACACAGTACTTGATGCCAACATTTGGTTTCGTGGCAACATACATAACTGACTAATCGGACACATGTCTGCGGCCAATGCACGTATTGCACAGAAGGAAACATCGTTACTTGCGTGATTAACGAAAATCACGATCTGACAGATTTCGGGGAAGGGGGGGGCGGCTGCCTATACGCTCTTTAGTGTAATCTTCGCTAAGGGAAATTTTACCCCAAGGCATCAGTGTGGCCTACATCGCTACACTGACAAATTAGTGTAATAGTAATTTACCAAATAATACCCGAACACATCAGTGTAGGCCCATATTCTCACCCTTATAATCAATATAGAAGGATGAATTACACTCATAACCTGAGCCCTGGCCCGTACTCTACTGAATGCCAGCGTTTCCCTTCCTTCCAGACTCCCTCCTTGGCTCTGCTCCATGGCGCCTTAGCTCCTCTGGGCACTCGCTATTGCGATGGCCTGGCCAGTTGCACGCGAAGCAACGCCCCTTAAACGGCGCGGCAACTGTGTTTGTTGCAACGGCGTGTACAGTGGCATGCTCGGCCGGCCCTCGGGTACAATGTCTGTAGTAGGACCCCGGCCTCGATCGGCATTAAATGTCGATTTTCTCTGCTAGCGCCAGGATTTCATTGAAGTTCGAGATCCCGCGAAGAAGGTTTTTTTTTGCGAGATTTCCGGCTTCATACCGCCGAGGTAACAATCCACTCGCTCTGCTTCGTGCATGTAGCCGACCTGCTCACATAGCACGAGAAAGCCACTGGTGTAGTCTTGAGCCGACCCGAGATGTCGCCAAGTGGACAGTTTCTTGCGTGCTAAGATGTAGCCGCGATCGGCTCGAAGTGCGGCCGAAGCCCTGCGCACCACGCATCCCACATGCTGTATTGGGCAATTTCGTAGAACGAACTCTAGGTTACGGCTGGGCCCGCGGGCCTTTCCTCTTGCGATAGTGGCTCATAGGTGCTCGGCGGCGTCAATATGACTTGCCACAAGTCCATGGTGGGGCCTCGCAACAATGACACGGTTTACCAGTTTTTCGCTGCATCCGACATGACGCAATTCGCATAAAAAAACACGTTAATCGTGAAAATCCACGATTGAACAGTCGGACCTCCACGCTGGCTAGGAACGAAATAGGGCGTGAGAAGATTAGAACGAGAATGGGGAGAACTATGAATGAAGCGAGTACAAATATGAAACCTTAGTTGGGTTGTACCCCCTATGGGATACCCCACTATAGCCTACACAATAGCATAAGCTATAATGTTCTAACACACCCCCATAGGCAAAGTGGGGGAGAACAAGGGGTCACAAGACCAGTCAAGCAAAGCAAAGCAAAGCTCAGGGTGGATCACAAAGTCACCACACATTCCGAGCACAAGTTCAAAGACCAAAAGGCCAGTTCACATGCAAGAGCACATATATATATATATATACGAGGCTAAGCAAGCAAGAGCAGGAGTATATATATGTGACAGTACAAGCAAGGTCAAGAAGTGAGCAAGTGAGGCAAGACAGGCACAAGACCCAGCTGAGTGCAGAAGCGCTGATGATCACAAGGCGCAAGTGCCTTGGTGAAAACATCAGCAGTGTTGGCCTCAGAGGCCACGTACGCAAGCCGCAACTGTCCACGCTGCTGTAGCTCACGAGCAAGAAAGTAACGGAGAGCAATGTGCTTTGTCCTGTGCTCCAGTCGCTGCTCTCGACACAAGGCCAGCATGGCCTTATTGTCTACGTACAGGACTGGAGGAGAACGAGGCGGCTCTCCAAGGTCGGTCAGCAGGTAGGTGAGCCAGCGAAGCTCCTGGGCAGCCATAGCCCCGGCGTAGATCTCAGCCTCACAACTGGAGCCGAGAACAGAAGACGAGCGGGTAGCCCACCACGAAACAGAGCCGGAACGAAGACTGAAGGTGTAACCCTGTGACGACCGCTGCGTAGCCTGGTCGTCAGCCCAAGAAGCTTCCGCGTGCCCAGTGAGGACCACTGGACTCCGCCCTCCAAGCACTAGCCCCATGCCCGACGTACTGCACAAGTAGCGCAACACCCTCTTCGCTGCAGCCATGTGCTCTGGTCGGTGTCTCCCGGGAGCAACATAGTGTGCAAGAATGCTAAGAGGGTATGCAAGGTCAGGTCGTGTGCAGGTCATCAGGTACATGAGGCAGCCAACAAGCTCTGGATACGGGCCACTCGACTCTACGGACTCATTCGAAGGCAGAGCTGAGAGTGAGTGGCGAGTAGGCAAGGAGTGGCCTGAGGCGAGGAGTACGTGAAGCCGAAGCGCTGAAGGACCTGCTGCACCATGTGTGACTGAGTCAGGGTAATGGTGCGGCGTGCTCTGTCCCGGGTGATCTGCAAGCCA